TTCTCGTGGAGGCCGGCGAGCAGGGTGCTGTGGATGTTGTTGCGGGCTTCCATGAGGCCGTAGCCTAGGTATGAGTGCTGGTAGAGGTTGAAGTTCTGGTTGGCGAAGTCGAGCTCGTATCTGTGGTCGCCCTTTGCGAGCTCTGTGGGGAGTCCGCCGCGGGGGGTGTCGGGGAAGGTGGGCTCGAAGATGATTTGGGTAGAGCCACCACCGAGATCGAGGACCGCTGCGGTGGGGTTCTTATCCGGGCCGCCAATCTTACCTAGAAGGTAGTTGACTGTGATCCAGGCGTATACTCCCTCCATCTCGCCAGGCATGACTTCGACGCCGTTCTTCTCTTCCGAGACGAGCGGGAACGGGTAGTCGTTGTCGAGGTGGTGGCGCACGGCGGCGAGGATGGCATTGCTCTTCTGCTCACCGAGCTTGCGGAGACCGGCCGTTGCCTTTACAGCGACGGGTGTGCACGACTGGTATTCCTTGGGCACGTTCTTCAGCGCAACGTCCATGAGCACGTCCAGACTCTTGGCAGCAGCCTCCGGGTTGTCGCCATATGCCGAAAGACCAGAGCCTCCTTCTCTCTTGGGTGTCATCTCGAAGTTCTCGCTCTCGAGTTCAGGGCTCGGGCCGCAGTTGTTGAACTTGTAGACGTGGATGCGGGAGCCGGTGCTGCCGGCGTCGATCATGAGGGCATATTGGATGAGGGGCTTGTCCTTGGAGAAGGACTTTGTGCATTCGGCCTTTGCGTCGCCAGCTGCTGTGTTGCCGCCAGCTGGGCGGGATACTGATGACGGTGTTAGCACGTGTCTCCCCCAGCATGTGTCCTCAACGTACCTGCCGGTCTTGAGATGCTATCGCGCGGTGCGACGAAGTATAACACAAGCAGTATGAAAGCAATGACGCCACCTGTCTTCAGGTAGCGCATGCGCTGCCCTTGGTTCATGACGGCGCTGCCCTTGTGGTCGTTCATGAATGCGTCCGAATACGTGGAGCGATGGCGCGAGTGTCGGTCGGCTTTGGCGTTGGGGTCGCTGGCGTCGCGATTGGGGTCGAAGTTGCGAGGTAGGGAGACGGAGACGCGGCGGCGTGGGCCAGTGAAACTAAAGTAGGACCAGATGCCGGGACGTCGTTGGCTTCCGGGGACCTCAACTCCACTGGACATGGGACTAGGCGACACGAGGGGAGAAAAGGGTCCAAGTTTAGGGCGCGGTCATTGAGCTGAGCTGGAACTGAGTTAGCCAGGGACGTGTGGCAATGTGAACACAGTTTCAGGCAACGTACAACAGGAGTGACTGTTCAGAGCAGTGGGAGACGAGGTGAAATTGCGATTGGCGTTACGCAAGCCTGCTGCATTCGTGTTCGTGTGCTTGTTGAGTGAGGTCCCTGAATCTTGGCACTAACATTTCCACTTCAGCCCTGCCGCGCCACTATCCAATCGCGCCGGCTTATCGGCGGCTATATTTGGCATCGCATTCAGGTCGAGACGACGTGCTATCTTTTGATTATGCTACAGACACACTACAGATGTGTTATCACCGTATGTCCATCCTTTCAAACATCTGGTCTCCTGATCCGTGTAGATGTCTTCCCCCGATATATGATCTATCTCAAACCATGGCTTCACTGCCTCCTCCCTTGTATACCGGCCTCCCATGCTGGGGATTGAGTGCGCTCACTGGCGGGGGTATCGTCTGCATAGCATGGAGAAGACGAGTAGGGTAGAGCGCTGGGAGGTCGAGAAGCTGAAATGCTTTTGCGGGAGGTCTTGAAGGGTCGCCGTGAGCGCGTTCGATAGTGGTATTCGTAAGGGCTTCGCAATAATCGTGCAGAGCAGCGTTTCGTGAGTCGCGCATGTTGCCTCTAGGCTTCAACCGAAAGACAGTCCAGCCCTCTTCATAACGCTCTCAAAGTCTTCGAGACTAACCCCTCCCACGTCCTTCTCCTGACCCTTGACCCCGCCGTTGGCCTCGATGATCATATCCTTCAAGACTTCGTCTGGCACATCTTCTCGCAGTTCCTTTGCTACCCTCCTGAGATGCCCCAGCGTTATCGGTCCCGCAGCGCCGTGTGTGAAGAGCTTGTATGCCGCGCTGACCTCCTCTGCGTTGCTCTCTCCCTGGAAGTCTTCCTCGTCGTCCTCTTCGTCGGACCCTTGTTCTTTCGAGTGTATGGCGATCGCAGCGTAGGAGAAAAAGGGCACGAATTCGACATAGCCCGTGTTGAGAGGGTCGATGGTGGATAAGATAGACGACATCTCGGACTTGTCGGGTGTGAGGTTCAGCGAGCTTTGGATTCGTTAGCATGGGCGCGCTGCTCTCCGGCGCATTCGCGTGGCCTACATCAGAACTCTGCGCACATCGCTCTTCTTCAACACGCCCTCCTTGGAGTCTTCATGTTCGGGATGCGATACGGCAAAAAGGCCGAATGCTTCGCGAATCTCCGCCTCTTGCGCCGCGGTGATGCCGTTCTCTTTCGCAAGTTTCGAGGGGCGTTTGACAGGCGGCGCCTTGGTAGGAGGACCACGTCGTTTAGGAGGCTATCACGTGTTAATCGCTATCCATTACCACAACCTGCATTCCACAACTCACCATGTCGCGTGCTTGCGAGAGTTGAAACGCGCCCCTGTGCTGGTGGGTGTCGTCCGTCATTCCATTCGCTTCGATGACGCGACTGCATGGGCCAACGCCAAGGAGAACACAGGCCAATTCCCGAACGCCCAAATTCTTCGCTTCCAGCCCCCTCCTTCGTGTCTCAGCTTATAAAGGCAACGCGACTTCCTTCGTGTCCTTTCCTCACAACTCCCTCATTCCATCCCCGTTGCGGCTCTGGACTGCTCTTGTTGCTCGCCATGTCTTGACATGGCACAATGTCGACGCGTCGGACGCGATTAGCGTCGACATCTTCCACTATGAATTATCCACCCCCTGAACCCACCCATCCCCCTTGTGCCCCTCTGGTCTTGCGAGACGAGAGGTGGTTTTTCGCAGGCGAGGAGGTGAACGGACGCAATGCTTGACCGCTGCAAGGCGTGTCACAATGTGTTAGTTCACCCGATCGTCTGGGATTAGCACAGGCGTTGGCTTGGAGGGTAAGTCTGCTCTCAGTCCAGCGCAATGTCTCCAGCACTAACTCAGCAACCAGATTTGTTTGAATCGTCACGATTGTTGAAATCCACAGTGTCGCTAGGGGTGGAAGCTGCTTTGCAGAACTATCCCTAGGTCAGACGGTGGTCCTATACGAACCATATAAACCGAACGCGTCAACATTTCATGGACCTCGCAAGCAGGGGATTTCCCCCGACACTGAGATATGGGATGTTTAGAGGCTGGACCTCTTGCTCACAACAAGAGCTTCGGCAGTCTTAGATCCCTATCTCAGAGGAAGAAGCCAACAGATATGAAGCCGTCTTCGGACGGTCTTCGACAGGCCGCATGGCCCCTGGCACATTTTGCTACAAGGCACCCGTGGGTTGACGCGTTCAACTTTGTGGCCATGCACGAAAGCCACCTGTGTGGAGGTTTTCCCATGAGCTGACCCTTCCCTACTGTTGAGGCTAGCGCGTGAGCGTGGGACTTGATGATGGGGCTGTGTAGTCGGGTGCATGGCTACGAACGACTGTTAACGCCCTCTGACGGTCGGTTCCGCTACTGCGGAATCGGAGGGAGCGACTCGCCCATACGTCGGATGCTACCCTGCCATCAGGCAATGGCCCCGGTCGACTACGCGAACTCCCCCTCCAACGATTGGTGGCAATGGATGGCTGTATCCGTCACTATCGACAAGGCGACGCACTACGTTCCAGCGCCTTTCGCGGTGAGGTTGCTGCAGCGGCCTCAAAAGCGAGAAGCTCTTACTCCGGGAGGCTCAACCCCGAGATAGGGCACGGAACAGGTCTGACCAACCCGTGCGGCATTGGAATCTTGAATTCCAGCCAATCAATATGGTTACAACGCCTTCGGGATGTTGTCTGAGGGCTGTGGGCTTATGCTTCATGTCGACTTCGTCGGCATTTAGCTACTGAGGGCTTTTGAGCACATACACGTTATACACGCTGTGGTTCTATGGTTCGTCATACACGCTATGCACGTCATACACGTCACACACGCTATACACGTTATACCTGTCCGTCCCGTGGGGTGTTGGCTTTGAGGGAGTTGTCTCTTTTGACCTTGACCTCTTCTCATCCTTCTTCCATTATTTATAATGGGGGATCGATATCCGCTTCTAAAATTGCTAGAGCTTGCCATTACGGATTTTCACGTTGAGCAAGTGTGGACAGTGAAGCAAGATTAAACAACCTCATCTACCCCCTTCAAGGTGGTGAGGCCTTTGTTCCTCAACCCCGTTGAGCCGATCTGATGGCTTAAGGGCGAGGAATGGAGGAGACATACTTTTGTTGCACCAAATTCTTTGGTAGTGACAATTTTTTGGGATTTCCATTTGTTGCGTTTGCTGTGATGTGGCGAATTCGCTGGCTCACTCCGTGGCTTTGGACGACTGTGTAATCGTATAGTCTCCGCCCGCATGGCCAGGCGTATTTGCCTACAGTGTCGCCCACGTCGATCGCATGGTGTTGATGATTGCCAATGCTTCTTCTCAGCTCTCAAGCTCGGAACATCAATGCGACGGTCCATTCACATCACTCGATGCTATAATTGGATCGACATCATAGATAGTATATCATTGGTCGTAACACAAACTTCCAGCATCATGTCTTGCCCGTAGATGCTTATGTCGCACAATTCCACTCTTGCAATTAAGTGAACCAATAGAGCCACCTCAGCCTTGCAGCTGCTGCCTGCCCAGGTGGTGCATGCGCGGCTGACGCGACTGCACAGCCCCGTCTCAACATGATCTCTTTCAATTCAGATCGCTCCTCCGTCCTCACACTCATCGATACACTTACTCACATCAGCATGATCATTCACTCCATCCCAAAATGAGGCTTATTGACTGCTGTAGCGAACCCTTGCAGATGATCGACTTCCTTGGGCGCCCACCGCATGCGTTCGCCATTCTCTCACATACGTGGGATAGCGAAGAAGTTACCTTCCAAGCTTTCCACCACCATGCCGCGCGAGCCGTAGCCAAAGGCTGGACTAAGATTGAGCAGACGTGCCTTGAAGCCCAGCGGTGCGGCTTCAATTATGTTTGGATCGACTCATGCTGTATAGACAAAACCAACAATGCTGAGCTGACCGAGTCCATCAACTCCATGTTTCAGTGGTATAGCGATGCTGCCCTCTGTTTAGTCTACCTGTGCGATTACGATAATTCCGCCTCCCCGAGCGACCGGAACGCAATGTTGCGCGGTGCCCGCTGGTTTAAACGCGGATGGACACTGCAGGAAATTGTAGCGTCGCGAACCGTACACTTCTACGACCATGCCTGGCGCTGCTTCGGCACGCAGGAAACACTACGAGACGAGCTGGCATCCATTACGGGCATCGACGCAAGCTTCCTTTCGTCGCAGCAGCAGCCAGGGGCTGTGGAAATCCGTGACCTTCTCGACGCTTTACCAGTTGGTCGACGCATGGCGTGGGCTGCAGGCCGACAGACCACCAAACCGGAAGACATGGCGTACTGTTTAATCGGACTGTTCGATGTCAGCATGCCCATGCTGTATGGCGAGGGTGCAGAGAAGGCATTCTTCCGTCTACAAGAGGAGATCATCCATAACAGCAACGACCTCAGCCTCTTCGCGTGGACGGCAGTTAACGGATCATCCACGTATCGCGGCATACTGGCTCGCAGCCCGGACGAGTTCGCCAGCCTTGGCAATCTTGTGCTCGAGCAGGACCTCAGGTTCAACCCGGACTATTCCATGTCGAATAAAGGCCTGCGGATTGTCACCTTCCTGAAACCCACTGAAGACTCAGAAGACGTCATCATGCCGCTACATTGTTACACAGCTGAAGTCCAAGGAAATAGAAAGGTACACCTCGGAGTAATTCTCAAACCTGAAGGCGCCAGTTCGTACGTTCGCGCAAGACCTCAGATGCTTGGCAAGCTGATAGAGCCGCCTTCCACCACGGGTGGAAATAGCATCTTCGTCGCCAAATATGTGCGGAAGGTGGTCGCTACCGAGAATCGCGAGGACAATGCGCGCGGTACACTCGACAGCCCCAGCATGACTCCTGTTGCCTTCTACTTTACGATCCCAAGCATTAACGCTCCGATCCGGTCCAAGTACCACAAGACAGTTAAGCTGCTCGAAGTCGAGCCTAGGGAGCTCTGGGATGCCCAGAATAATGCTTTTCTTACGCGTGGTTTACGGAGCTTCACCGCATTTCTCAAGTTCCGCGTTGCTTCAGTCTCCACGGGTCAGGTCGCGTTGATATGCGGCTTTGCTGAAAACGTCTCCCCGTGGGTCTTGTTGGATGATCAACATGGCGAGCTGTTTCAGGCCACACAGCACAAGGACTTTCAAACGATGGGCGAGATTGGTGCGATAAAACCAAGCTTGAGAAATCGGAGCCAAGCCATGCGGGCGGACCAGTCCACTCTTCTTCTTGGGACTTTAAGGTTACAATTTGTGTCAGTCCAGTTGCGGTGCGATCAGGCGGTTCACAATGAAGAATTGACTTTAAAGTTGGACCTCGAATTCCACTAAGGCTTAGCCGCCTTCGGTTTACGATTTCACTGAACCGTCCTCTAAGCAGGTAACATCTGTAAGGTGCTGAAGCCTTGATGGGCATTCCTCGGCCAGTAGTCTTCGGTACTTATGGCTGAAGGATGGCTGAGCTGTGGCTGAATAAATCCGCAACTGAGAAGGAACCTCGCATAAAAAGCTCTTTCCGGTTCTTTTTTGAAGTCCATCGAATCAACTACTGTTTACCTTGCACCTATAGTTGAACCATCGCACTCTTACATCATTGTTCCCTGCTGACAAAAAGACCCGCTCTACCGGTAAATTTATGCTAGTCAGATCTTTCAAAAGCGCTAACCTTACTGTCTAGATCTATTAAGGTGAGCGTACGAAGTATTACTTTGGAAATGTTAGGGTCACGCATCAAAACGTGCTGTGCTGAAGCTTAGTTTTTGGGAATCCTTTACACGTGTTCTGATATGTTAACGTTATGCCAATTTGTTAGGTGGGGTAACGCAACCCATGCTAGCGTGGGCGAGGCTTGCAAGACCCCACCAGCACGTCAGGAAATCACACCATCTCCACCATATCCCGTCTCCCGGCGCGTAACGTTTCGCAGCCGCGGTACGAACTCACGAATCGCATCACTGGTATATCGGCATGCATCGCCGTTATATGATGGGCAGCGATATGCTTACACACGGCCTTCTATTTCGGGTAGCGACCGCTCCGCCCTCCTACCGAGTATGGCGTGGGAGCGCGCTATACTGATTGTCAGCAACTACGCCTGCGGCATGCTTGTACACGCGGTCCTATACCCTGAAAGAATGATATTCCCGCGACTACTCCACCGGCACTAAGGTTCTCGAAGCACATGGGCTACCATCGGGCGTAGGGCGAAAAACGATCCAAGGTTCGCGCGGCTCAATCAGCATGGACTCCGATTTGGCCATGGACGTACTTTATCGGTCTCTTTACCAGAGTTAGGTCTCTTCTCAGTTGCGTACCGTCGTTCGTCTCTGGCACAAGCAGGGTGGACCTCAACATGGCGTTTCTAGCAACGATACCTGTCCTCATCGTGGTTGGCACTCTCTTCTTCTACGCACTCAGTCGCCTCTTGCGAATTAAAAGCTACGATCTTCCGCTCCCTCCGGGTCCAAAAGGAATTCCCCTCATTGGCAATATCAATGACTTACCGAAGCCTGGGATCCTCGAGTGCCATCATTGGCTCAAGCACAAAGACCTCTACGGTCCTATAAGCTCGGTTACGGTTCTGGGTCAAACGTTCGTCGTCGTCAACGATGCGAATATAGCAGTAGAGCTGCTAAGCAATCGGGCGGCGATCTATTCAGGGAGGCCACATATGGTATTCAGTGGAGACATGTACGCTTCTATGCCTATACCAAGCGATCGAGATGGCTGACGAAGAAGCAGGATTGGCTGGACCAAGACGTTGGCGATGCATCAACCCGACCAAATCTTCAAACACCATCGTCGCAATATTGCGAAAGTAGCCAGCTCCAGCACGTCTGTTGCCGTCTTTGATCGCGTCCAGAACGAAGAAGCAGCACATTTCCTCCTGAATGTCATGGAATCCCCGAACGATCTGTTTGAACACATCAGGAAAGAGGCAGGTGCTGTCATATTGAGAGTCACATATGGCTATACTCCAAACGCGAAGGGACCGGATCCGCTCGTAGATATAGCAGGCCAAGCGATGGCCGAGTTTGCTGACGCAAGTGTGCCTGGAAGATGGCCTGTAGACGTCATGCCTTTCTGTAAGCTTACCTCCGTACCATTAGGCTACCAAGTATGCAGTAACGCGCGCTGACTTCGAAAAGTACGTTTCCTCCCAGACTGGTGTCCAGGTACCGGCTTCAAGCGTACAGCTCGGCAGATGGCAAAAACCTTGATACGAACGGCCGAAGAGCCCTACGCTTTCGTTAAGTCGCAGATGCAGGATAAGAAAGCGAAGACATCCTTCCTCTCTCAAGCCATGGAATCTCTCGGCTCAGACGCATCTATGGAGTACATCAACAAATGGTCCGCTGCGTCCATGTACCTGGGTGGCGCAGACACCACCGTCTCGTCGCTGATGACGTTCTTCCTGGCCATGGCCGTCTTTCCGGAAGTCCAGAAGAAAGCTCAAGACGAGCTGGACCGTGTGATTGGCGGAGAGCGACTTCCAATCACCAGCGACAAATCAAGCTTGCCGTATATTGAGGCCGTAGTGAAGGAGACGCATCGATGGCATCCTGTGGGACCCATGTCAATACCCCATTCCTGCACGCAGGAGGATAGTATCAATGGGTATAGGATACCGAAGGGAGCGATGATCTTGCCTAACAACTGGTACGTATGATAGTGCGAGAAGCAGACGCATTCGTGGCTGACAGCATGTAGGTGGTTCACACACGACCCAGCCGTCTACCCCGATCCTATGACCTTCCGTCCCGAACGCTATATCACGACACCAAACCATACCGCGGAGTCCGATCCACGTACATGGACATTTGGCTACGGGCGTCGAGTCTGCCCTGGACGCTATGTCGCCGATAACGCTCTTTTCGCGACAATCGCGCAGTCGCTGGCTGTCTTCAATATCGAGAAGCCTATCGAGAACGGAAAGCTAGTAGAGCCCAAGGTTGAGTTTGAGCCTGGCGTGATAAGCCACCCAAAGCCGTACCGTGTGAACATCGTACCGAGGAGTGAGAAGTGCAGAGAGTTGGTCAAGCAAGCGGAGGAGGTGTACCCATGGGGCGAAAGTGATGCTGAGACTTTGAAGAATCTGAGCTAGATGCTGAGGAAGGCGGCATGGGGCGTTCCGAAGTGGAGATCCAAGGTCGACAGGTACTCATCGCGCGAGTTCGGAAGTCGCGTCCAAGCAGACGGACTTGGCTGTTCACGCGTAATCATTCGAAGGTGCCAAGGTATGTACTACTGCCGTAGATAATTCCACGTATAAGACACTTGTAGTGTAGTGATCACTGCAAGCCAAGAATGATGAGAATTGATTCTGGGTACGGCATATGAAGTCGTTGTGACTGCCATTCGGGAAGTGGAGGATGGTCTATCCTCCTTTGGACAAGCGTTCCCGAACTCGAGCCGCAACCCAGGTTAATCGAACGCGTGCATGCACGCGCGCGTCACCAACAGAAAAAGAGGCTGGCAGCTACCCCGGCTTTTCACGCATTTACCCCAGTAAATTCCCCGCATACAGTGCAGATCTCCAACGAAGATAGCAGAAAATTGACCGAGGCCATGCTTTTCAATTGCCGCATGACGTCCCAGTCAAAATCTCCGTTGCCGGCGACGCCCATAAACCTCGCGCAGACGGCCTTCAAGGTATGGCAGCGACGATCTAACGCCCACCATGTTACCCTCAATCAAGCGCTCTCTTGCTGTTGCAGCTCTCGGTGCTTTTCTAGACGCCGAGGCAGCTCACATCTCCTCCAGGGCAAAACCAATTGCGATTCCAAAGTCTGCACCCAACGATGCTGGTATTCCCTTGGACTCTTTCGTGTCGTATTCATTTGAGTTCTCGTCATGGCCCGACTTTGCTGGTATGTCTGCTGCGATATGCCAAATCGCACGACAGTTTGACTAACGATCATTGCTCCTAGGCAATCTGTCGCATCCCAATGCCTTCTCATACAACCTCATGAGCAACCTTGGCAAGCTGCAAGGCTCGATGCCGATTGCTCGCGTCGGCGGCAACACACAGTAAGACATCCCCTTCATCGCGATTCTGGATACATGTAGCTTACTCCAGAATTAGGGATATCGCCATCTTCGATGAATCGCTCGAGACCAGCATCGTCGGCATCATTCGCCCAAACATCTCCGCCGACTACCCAACGATCATCACGATTGGCCCGTCCTACTTCGAGTCCTACAAAACCATGCCTGAGGGCACGCGATTCGTTCACGGCTTCAACATGGGCGCCAACTCCAGCGCCGCAAGAACCGCAACGTGGGCATCTGTTTCCCACGCCTGCAAAGCGATAGGAAGCGACCTGCTGTTTTGGGAGTACGGCAACGAGCCCGATCTCTTCACTGCTTCTGGATACCGAAACGACAGCTGGGCCGAAGCGGACTATGTATCTGAGTGGCTGAATGGCACGACTGCCATTGAAGAGGCCACCAAAGCAGCATGCCCAGATCTCGCTGGCACCAAGTTCATGGCACCGAGCTTTGCGGGTATCGGAGTCAATGACTACTTCAGGTTGGACCCCGTCGAAGTCTTCAAGCAGGGATTGGACGAGAAGCAGAACATCGGCCTGATCGCTTCGCACAACTACATGGGTGTCTCTACGAATCCTGGCATCACATTGCAAGGCACGTTGATGAACCACAGCAGTGTACTCGCCAAGGCAGACGAACAGATCGGTGTGAAAGATGGCATCAAGGCACTGGGAGACGCGCTGGCTCCAAATGTCCCCTTCGTCATGGGTGAACACAACTCGCTAGCCCGACAGGGACGACCTGGTCTTAGCAACAGCTTCGGCGCTGCGTTGTGGGGTGTAGACTGGAACACCTATCTCGCGTCCCAGAACCTTACACGCTCTCACATGCACCAAGGAACAAACTACCGGTACGTACTACGTTTTTCTCGTGTGAAACCGTTCGTGAGCTAACAGTGTCTTCAAAGCTACCAATCCTGGCAACCGATCCAAACGAACATCACAGCTCGAGGAACAAAGCCACCATACTACGGCAACGTCGCCGTGGCAGCCTTCATGCACAAACCTTCATCCTCATCGGAACTCAAGATCTCAGCGCTGCCCTCATCTTCCATCTACGCAACCCAATACGCCGCCCACGTCGACGACACGCTCGCACGTCTCCTCCTTGTGGACCTACACACATACAATACAACCGCGGATAACAACTACACCACATCGTTCGCGCGCCCAGTAGAGAAGTACTCCTTCCAACTACCGAGCGACTGCAAGGGTGAAGCTCAGGTGCAAAGGCTGTTGGCCAATGGAAGTGATGCTATCACGGGAATCACCTGGGATGGCTACAGCTACAACTACGAGCTCGATGAAGGGAAGCCTGTTCGTATGGACAATGTGACTTGTGGAGAGCGTGTGAAGGTGGATGGCAAGGGTATGATTAATGTGGAGGTACCGTGGAGCAGTGCTGCTATTGTCAGCTTAGACTGCTAAAAGGGCTGTCGTTAAAGCGTCATAAGGATGAAGTAGATCTCTTTGGAACGCAAATGTAATTTGTGCATACTGCTCCATCTCGATCCCGATAGGTACTCATATCTTTCGCATCACGAGGATGCCTTCCTAGACACATCTGGGTAGACGCGGTATTGTTATGCTGCCACCGGCGGCCTGTTGCTGGAACCATGGTACGCGTGGAGGGATAAGAAATATGTGTGCTGGCGAAAATCTTCGTCTTTCCCACATGCCGCCTACGAAAAGAAAAAAAACAATCAGTCCTAGATTTTCACAGGTCTTAACTCTCCTTCTCCAGCGTTCACCAATCTCCCACAAGTCTCATTCCCAAGACTAAAGTGTAATTGTACTCAGGCTCACAACGCGGCGACGCCCTCTAATCGTCAAAATAGTCAACGCAGCCGAGGCTACAGTACGTTCCGAGCGGACAATTCCGAACTTCTTCCTACCCGACAACACCAATATGTCTACTCTTTTACAGCTGCCGCGGGAGCTCCGCAACCTCATCTACGACTACTACTTCGCCGGCGATGGCGACTACACACATAATTTCGAGACGAACAAGCTCAGCCGGGCAGACAATCAGCCGATTGAATTGGCTTTGGTGCTGAGCTGCCGGCAGATCGCGAACGAAACGCGCGGGCTTGCGCTGCGGATCAATACACTTCGGTTCACGACTTTCCACTCGGATGCCACGCAGGAAGATGCCAGCGTGCTCCATGCAAGCAACAATGCCATTCGCTACATCAAAGAGTCGATACTCAACTACGCAACGCATGACTATCTCAGCGAAGAACAAGCCCAGACAGCAAGAGAAGCGTATCCGCAATTCACGCCCGTGATTGATCACTGGCAGTCGCCGCGTCACTCGATAATCCATCGCGCCCTGTTCAGGCCTTACCTGATATGTGGTGAGGCACCGTCCATTTGGCACGACTTTGTAGCCTTCACCTTGGATCTAGTCTCTCAGCACCCTGAATTTCTGAAGAACGCTAGAGTATGGTCTGAGCTGCCGTTCAAGAACAGCGAATATCATCTAGTTAGCGATGTTAGTACTAAGCCCTGGGAAATCCCAGACGGCACGGAAATTGCGAGGCTGCGGAATATCTCGGGACAGCCCTTCAACACTTTCCACCTTTCTGCTCGCACAAAGCACGCTTATTCGGCAGCCTCAAGAGCTCTTCTCTTTCTACACTCAGCGCCCGAGACTACACGCGAGAACATTCGGAAAATCCTGTTGATTGAGAACCGCGAATCGATATCGCTTCCTGAGAGCCATGGCAGAGGATTCATTCCTTTCTGTCAGAGATATCCACAGCTCAAAGTCGAACGCCGCGCTAGTCTTTGGAGCAATGTCTTCCCCACCGCTTCGCATATGTTAGAAGAGTATTTAGAAAATAATCAAAGCTTGATAGATGAAGGAGCTTCGGCCCTATACAATTAAATACGTTAAATTTGTTCTAAAATATAATTTATTACTTAATTCTAGTTTCTATGCTAAGTAATGTTACCTTCTATATACTAGTTCTTGCTATCTTAAGTAGATAGCCTAAGCAGCTTAAACTCTATACTATATTAGAACTTATAAACTATAAGGTGCAAAAATAATATTAGTTCTTATATATTGTTTATTATTGCTATAAAAGCTAATCTAGCCTATAAAGGTAGTCTTTACTAGAGTAGGTATATAAGCGTGTTATTAAAGGTAAAGAAGTAGGCCTTATATAGCTAATTTCTTAGCTAAAAAAAAGGCTCTAGCTACTAGAGTTATCTCTATATAAGTAGTAAGCAGTACATCTAATAAATAAGCATTATATATACTTATCTAAGTGCTTAGAAAGAGTAAGTATAACTTTATATTTTACATTTTTTAAGCTAAGAGTAATAAGTAAAGTTACTAATAGATACTAAGTATCTTTATAATAAGCTTACTAGTAAAACGTAAGGTTATAAAGTAAGCTAGGTAAGCGTAGATATTAAGGTAGATAATTATAAAAATAATTACTATTATAAAGAAGAAAAGTATAAGTAGTATAATTATATGTATGTTATAGAAGTAATAAAGATACTATAGTACGCTTTATATACTCCTCTCTTTAACTTATTACTATATACGCAGAATTTAAAGCCTATAGTTTAGCATTGCTATTTTATAGTACTATAATAACTTAGAAGTAACTTAGAGATAATAAGCTAACTACACCTTCTGCATTCTATATAACTTATATGTAAGGAGATACTCTACAAAGAGAGAAGTATCGCATCTCTAAGAACCTCTAATAGACGAAGGCGATGAAGGGACCATAATCTTCGATAGATGTTTCGCCCGCGACATGACTAAGGCGGTGGGTACGTGGATGAAAGAAGCCAGAGCTCTGATACCGCTTGGCATGCCACATGATTCCTTCACCCTCGTTCTCGATGGCGAGCTTGTGCCAGAGCTTTCATCGCGCGCCTTCCGCGTTATCCAACGCGACGTCGCATGGCAGACCGCCCTCGATACCTGCTACGCCCGGGGAATTCTACCGCAACCTTCGTGGCTCGATCGGCGACTAGGTACTAGTGGTTTCATCTATGAAGGATTACCAGAAGCAGTTCGAGCTCTTTCCACTAATAGCCCGCTCATTAGAACCAACTTTGAGCTCCCTCCACCTGACAATGTTGAGCAACTGCTAGATGAGAACAAAGGATGGTCTGCACATCACTGGGATATAGGCTGGGATTCACACAAGCCGAAATTCTTCCAGACCGAGCCACCACTACCACCTTGGCATGTGCTTCGTTGGGGACATGTTATTTGGAGGCCCTAGGCTTTGGAATTCGTTGGAACAAGAGTGGCATTCAGTGTCAACTGCGAACTAAAGGCCAAGGCATTCATCAAGCATGTAACTTACAATCAACTTCACTAGAATCCTTTGCTTCGTTATCCTCTTGACTAATGTGATGTTACTCCGCCTTGTATACATGTTGCCCTGATCCGTCGTTGCTGCTGTGGCGAGATTGGGGGAAACGTACGGAAGGTGGGGCAAGCCGAGGCTTCCCTGTGGACCCCGTAACGCGTGCGCCACCAGTGGCTCCACCCGGGCACCAAACAATATTGAGAAGCTCGCTCTGATCCATGGAGCTCTTCAGGCAACAACGCTATTTCCCTAATGCTGTCCAAGAATTTGGCATGTATAAGTCAATGCTGATACAATCATGGGGATCGCTGGACGGGTACCACATCAAAGTTATTGCAATCATACCGTATACCAAAGCACAGTCTCAAAGACCAAGCCCAACCCAGAACCAGACCGCAGTCTGAGTCAAAGGCGCACTCTATCCTTTCTGGACGGGTACCGTTGACGCACACATGGGCAGAGCGGAAGGACTGTTGAGAATCGATCATGTTGTATGATGGTTACGTACTCTCCGCGTTCTGAAAACGGTCCTGCTAGAGCTCCGCGTATGCGGCTGAGCAGGTTGTGTGTGGAAGCGCGCCTCTCTACCAAACTACGTAGCCTCCCGAACCTGGGTACATTCGTGCAAAAAGCGCCCCGTCTCCAGCCCTTGATCTAGTACTTCTACTCCCTCAGCCCGTACCACTTCGCACAACGATTCTACCTCCTCTCTCGCTACGCTCGTCTACGATGTCCTTCCTCCGACTACCGCGCGAACTTCGCGATATGATCTACGAGCAATATTTTGCAGTCGAAAACGGCTACCTGTACGACGCTGAGCTCGAAAAGCTTACGCAGGCTGATAATTCGCCTATATCGCTGTCTCTCTCTCGTACATGTCGACAGGTCGCGTGCGAAGTCCGAGGTCTCGCCTTTCGCGTCAACACAATCACGTTTTCAACATTCAGCCCTAGCTCGCAGCGCACACAGGTGGCTGCAAGTGTACTTCATGCTACCGTAGCTGAAGTCAAGCACCAAAAGCACATCATGATCCTTTCGCTTGTATCTCAGCTACTCACACGCGACATGGCCGAGCTAGCGGCCAAAGCATATCCGCAATTTGCGTCAGTGTTCGACGATTGGACGCCTCAAAGTGACATACCTATTCTTTACAGGAAGAACTTTCATTGTGGAGAGGCCCCTTCGGTCTGGCTTGATTTCAAACACCACATTTTAGATCTGATGTCAAAACATCCGTTGTTCGGCAAAAGAGCGTCTGCTATAACTAGACTTTGGGGTCCAGATATCGAGTACTACACTCTCCAAGCGAATGATGCGTCATCGAGATCTTACTTTATCTTTGGCTTCATACACGACGTTTTGAAACGAGTGTCGAAGCATGTCTTAGCCGTCACAACAGCGTTGATTATACCTCGACTTTGGGCTTCAGACAGTGTATACCGCGCTACTCAACTGACTCATACATCGCCAAAGCCTTGGGTCATTCCCGATCCCCTCGAGCTGAAGCGATTAGCAAACATTGTCGATGTTGAACCCACGCTACCGTTCTACGAACCCAACACGAAGTACACCTACTCTGCGGCTTCCATTGCGCTTCGCTTCCTTCGCACGCTGCCAGACGCTTTGCGTAGTAAGATAAGAAGCGTTACACTGCTCGAAGACCGCGAATCTGTGGCGTATGCGAAGTGTCATGGAAGAGGGTTCATTGGTCTGTGTCAGTCCAACCCAAAGCTTCGCGTCAAGCGCGTTGTCAGTCTTTGGCAGAACGCGTTTCCAATCACGCCCGAGAAGAAGATGGACTACATCTTAGCAAGCCAGTACCCAGAGTACATGTACAATGTCGTCAGCGATTCTTTGCTGTCCAAGCACATATCAAAAGCTCTCGGCGCATGGATGGCGGAAGCCCTGGCTTTGTCTAGCCTTGGGATGCCGGACGGCTCATTTCGGCTTGTCTTCGAAGGCGAGCCTACTTCACCGGATACACCCACAGCCGATGCATTCAGGGTAGTGCAACGAGATGTCGCTTGGCAATGTGCCCTGGACACCGCCTACTCTCGTGGTATGTTGCCAAAACCATCTTGGCGGGAGCGCCGGCTCCAGGTTACATATCTATACGAGGGTCTCTCGGGTATCATCGACAACTTGGCGAAAGAGAATGCTCTCTTCAGTTGCAACTTCGAATTAGGCCCTTCATATGATATTGAAAAGCTGTTGGAGGAGCATAGCACCTGGACTGCACAAGATTGGGAGCGCAATTGGGACGCGCACGAACAGGAAGGATTCGATACTGCAGCCCCATTACCACCATGGCATATGCTTCGACTGCACCGTATCTTTGACTAGTTGGCTGCGACTAGCGTAAACAGTCTGCGGTGGGCGCGTTACAACTGCGCACGCAACATTGCCCAGGGGGCGAGGCAGTACCGTTGATCTGTAATGACACAGCGATTGGAGAATTGATTAACTTCCAACAGTTTGTTTGCAGCAAATGAGATAGACCAACTGGGTTTCGAAGCGCCCCCGAGGGCTTTGTTTTGTGTCAATAATCTGGGAAGAGGCCAGTTCGCATACCATTGCGCAACATTCGATAATAATTTGATATAGTGTATTTGGTGATTGCGATATCGCCCACCCTGTTGTGACTCTGAAGAGTAAATTTGGTGTGTTGTAGAAACACAACAATGTTCAGCATGTCACCCTATGTATTGCACGTACTAATCTCGGCAGTTAAACTCAGCAACGACTTCACATCCACAACCAGGCCGTGGCCGTGCAGCTTCTTTCCAAGCACACGGGCTATCGCAGTAGCAGATCGGAGGACTAACGAAGGATTAGTGATAATATCAAGAGCAGAAAACCATTCCACTTACAATTGGGTGGCAGGAGTTGCCTTGATCTCCGCCGCTTTTGAGGAGAAGTCGCGTCGAATCCCGTGCTTGAACTCCCTCCATACCGGCTCCCACTCCCACCTCGTACTGTTCTTCACATCTCCGCTCACAGAAACCATTGGTACATTCTCCCCTTCCTCATACCTTTGTACAAACTGCTCATACAAGAGCGTGAGAACCCACTCAACCCACACTTTCTGACACTGCATAACAACAGGATCAAGCTTGAACTGCGTGACAGGATGAAGCCTATCGCCGAGGATTCGAAAGGGTAAGGGGGCTTGGAAGTGGAGGTCAAGGTATTCGATGCTGTTGATGGAAGCTAGGACGCTCAAGCGATTAGCTTTCTCAGCGGGAAGCGGAGCGAATGCTAACTCGGCGGTGGTTTTGTAGCCGAGGAGACGGAGGTATGCGCGGTCGCTGAATGTGAGTGATACGCGTCGGAGTGCGTTGAATGGGATGGCATCGAGATGTGGGATCGTTCTGGTCAGAGTTGCTATGTTGTCGAATCTCTTGATTGTACTTTCCCAGATCATCTTCTGGGCTTCGGAACTGAATGCTTTGCTGACGAGTAGTAGGGTTTTGATCCAACCGGTAGCTTTGCGGGTCGATCCGTAAGGACGGCTGGATGGCGGACGATGGCAGGATACTTTGTCTCTCAGCCTTGGCGCGTTGGTGGATATTCCCCGTGGCCAGGTGTTGACGTTCGTTTCCGCGTCTTGTGGAGATGAGTTACGTGGTGTGTTGTTTTGATCATGCCGTGATGCAGGTGTTGCATCATGTGCACGACGGCCGGTCATCAGAGCTGCCTGCGACTCTTCAGTGGCTCTATGATGAGGCCATAATACCGGCCCTATCGATGCCTCAAAGATCATGAACCGCAGTTCAAGCGGAAGATCCATGAATCGAAACGACGTATGGTAAAGATCAAACCACTCGTTGAATAAGTCCCGACGAGTGACATCGCCGCCATATCGTTCTAGCAGCCAAGATCTGGCAGACATGCACTCGGTCTTTCTACCGGTTTTGATATCAAGCTCCGGTTTGCCATTGATCGACTTCCATCGCGTAACGATGCCATGCTCGCGTGTGTGCCCATGTGTCCTTTTTTCGGAGATGAAGAAGTGCTGAGTAACGGTACGCGTAGTAGCGCGTAAAAGTGGGTGTCTCTCGATTCGAATGCCCTGTGTATTCGTGTAGATGTTGAAACTATACCGGCGCTCTTCATTCAGCATGAGTCTTAGTTTTGGTAGTGCATCTGGCATGCTCTTTGGCTGTTCCTGCTTCTTACGTCAGTCTTGTTTTGTAGACGGACCGACGGCGCGATGGCTTACTTGTACAGTTCTCGGCGGTACAGTACCAGGAGGAACCTGGTTTCTGTCGACTACCAATTGACTGGCATGATTGGAGCTCTGCCAATATGGGGCGTGGACGGACCACGCGTGAGACATGTCTGAACGGTATACGATGGAAACTACTTGTGTATCAAGAAGAGATGGTAATGCGCATCGTATACATCCTCATTTATGGGTGGAGTGGCGGTGTGATGGCGTCCTTTCTGTGGGGAGTGGCGGGTCATCATCCACTGTGCGCTTTGGCCACTCCCCGCATCTTCCGCGTTGCAACCTCAAAGAGACCTCGGGAGCTCGTTCCCGCTACTATTACCGTATATACTCCAGCCTGTATCAACGTTGATATATGAGTATGCAGGCTATGGCTTTTGCACGGAATGAAACTGTGATCGGTGGTACTTTGGGTGTATCTTGCACGCTACCTTCATGATGTCGTAACCGGAGGGATGGATTACATGGGTACAAAGACAGTGCACTGACTATCGCAACGAGGGACTTCACTAGTGTGTAACAATGCATCATGGCGTGCACAACGTCGCGGAATCAATATGAGTGATCTCTTTATGTATTATAAAACCCCAAACAGGTCTGCAGCCTACTCTAACATGGGATCATGTACCCTAGGCAACCTGATGTGACCAAGCATTCTAGGGTGTACAGCTCTTACCCTCTTTATGAACCGATACTCCTCGATCCGCTGCTGCTTCCCGTACCTGGGAGGGATGTTTGGTAGAACATGCCGCCAGCGAAGTATATGCCACGGCGGCAACGGTGCTTCCGTCTGAAACTCGTACGGGTTGTGCTTGCTCCATCTTGCGCTCCAGTCCTCTACAAACCTCCATCTATATGGCTGCTCCGACCTTTCGAGCAATTCTTGAACCGAGCTATCGAGATCGAACCCCGAATCTAAGTGGAAATTACACCTGACTGGGGCGCTGCCTGTAGAAAGCGTGCGGATCAATTCAGGCAACCCTCGGAAGATAAAAGCGCTGTTGCAGCGTCTGCTTGGCCAAGAGGGGTTGAACTCGAATACATCGCGGGAGAGGCATATGTCCAATGCAGCCTGCCATGCAGCATCCCGCTGGACGGTCCGAAATACATCGGCTGTGTGCTCTGGAATGGGGTCTCCATCCAGTACAAGCGTGTGCGAACCCTCAGGCATCCCAAGCAATTGTAGAGCCATTGTTTCAGTCACCCATTTCCCGAGCGACTTTGTGATAGTAGGGGCCAGCAAGCGATCGCCTTGGAAATTGTTTTCCGCATTGCTTTCTGCAGCTCGGATGTACCCCTCACGACGGCCTGGACAAACCTCGAAAACAGTCTTCCATAGGCTGACGCGGCGTTCGACTTGGAGTGATCTGTTCTCTTGGCATATGGGAATAAAGCCTCGACCGTGGCATTCAGGCTGTGCTATCGATACGCTATTTTCCTCGAGAACGATCTTGCGGACGGAAGATCGGATGGTCTTGGTACAGGAAGCGAGGAACTGTAGCGCCACAGCAGCGGCTGAATAGTCATAGCCCGTGTTTTCGCGCGGACTCTCGATTTCCAAAAAGCTGGGCAGCATATCTGACAGGCGTTGGAGCTCCGCATGATCGAGGATGAGCCAAGGTTGGAGATGTGCGTCTTTTAGCCGCAGCAGATCGCGACATCCTGTCAGTCGCACGCACGCAAGGCTTTTCGAACGGGCTGGAAAAGATGCAGTAGTAGAAGCAAGGCTACTCGGTAAGGCCTTGATAGTTTCCGCGTAGTCGGGGTGTTCAGAGATCAACTCTAGAACGTGATCCACGAAGTCGTCCCAGATCGATCTGGCTTCGCCAAAGCTTTCCTTGAAATCCCCGAATGTGTAAGGAGCTCGCCCTTGCGCCCAAACACGGATGAGTCCAGCAAACTCTGGATGCCTCTTAGCGGCGGCTTGTCCCATTGGTCGCGTGAAGAGCTCGGTAGGTAACAGCTCAAGCAGGGCTTGCTTTGAAGATCTGAGCTTCAGGGCGACATGATGTTGAAGACCGGCTTTCTCATGCGTAGATGTAGAACTGGTGGAAGAGAAGGTAAGCGAGTTCAACCCAAAAGGTAGTCTCGCTAGTTCTGATGCGGCTTGTTTGCACGTAAATGCCAGCGCGTAGCATACAGGCTCTCCATTCCTTTGCATGAACTTTCGGGTTTCTGCATCGAAGATATAGCCACCATCGCAGCGGATGTAGTAGTCGTAGATGATGTCTCGAAGCTCGCGAGGCAATCGAAAGATGGGGGGAAGGTCGGACGGCGGTGGAGGACTCAAATTGGGGCGCGTGTGGAAATCGCTCACAGCGCGCCTGTTGCTTGGATGTGACATGCTCGATGGATTCAGTGCCATGGGCTCCTGCGTATCTACACGAATGAACGTTTAGTGCTCACAAACGGATCTGCTCGTGGAGGAGGAAGAAGGACGAAGGCCTCGGCTTAGACTGCGCAGCCTGTATCTGTTCCGCATGAAGAACGGTGTGTAGACCTCGGAGCCTGGCAATATGGCTTTTTCGATGTCGCATAAGTGGTCTCCGATGCTAGATGGAAAATCTGGAATCATCTACTGGTTGCTTGCAGTGAAGTATGGTGGCAGTCGTTGGGTCAAGCGATCGCGGCGCACACGCGGATGGCCCGGGGGTGCGGGGGCACCTGGGCAGCACCAGTTGACCAGCGTTCACGCGTTGTGAGACTAGGCCCAACACAGCAACACTTCCATATCTACCTTTACATCCTTCTTTGGTGAGCACACTTAGGTAAGGCATTCTTCAGAAATAGGAAATACAGACAGAGAACGGAAAGCGACGTCAAGATAAGAGTTCTCAAGGCCACGTTAAATGGGCGCAATGCGAACATTGTGGTCGGATTCCAGTCCTGCAGATGGGCCTCATCGCGCACTGAATGCGAGATCTTCTCGAGCAGGGTGGCTAGGAACCTGAAAGCCTGGGCGTATCAGCTCGCGCTCTTCTTATAAGTATTCTGACCTCCAATTTAGCCCTACGCTTGCTCCGAGATGTTGATTACCGTGCCGTGATCTGCCCACAGCACCAAACCTCCGACTCCGACTTCAACGGCGGCTAATAGAAAGTGGCATAGCGCGGTCATAGTCGGATTGGAGGTGCGGGTGTAATTTATGATACGTTACGACGCTAGCGATTTCAATCACATCCGCTGTTGGAGCGACGGGAGACGGGCGCTAGAACTCTACGACTGCAGGTACATCCGCGTGGCATGTACATTGCCGGGAAGCTTCCGCTCGTCTAATGTCGCCAGAGCCCCCAGGCTGCATCCGGTTCCAGTGTACTTCTCGGGATTCTCTTGTCTAGGCGCGAATCCCTGGAAGTGTTCCTCGCTGTGATGATCTGTCGCTGGCTTGATGTCACCAAAGAGTAACGCGTCGCAGCTTATCGCGTCGAATTTCGATTCTCTGGGTAATGGTGCTTGACTCTGCTGCCAGTGGATAATGCCTTACATCAGGATGATGAATGGGAGGTGTATCTGAGGGTATGGTCCTGTGCCGGTCCGCCACTAGTGTGGAGCGCATCGCTCGCCAAAACAATGGTACCAAATCATTCCATTGGGGAGAACCTGATGACCTTGCATCAATAATCAGAGTGTTGACCGAGTCGAGAAAAGGATGCACACAGCTGCCTTGGCCTTCGCACATCACTGGTCATCCACGCCATTGCACTCATTTGCAATGGCTTGCCAGGCAGCACCGTCGGAAATCCTGGGCGAAGGTTCGCGTGCAGATACCTGGGTATATTGACCTCTTTGACTCCATGCGCTGTGGTCTGGTACAATAGGTAAGAATTATTTGTTGGAGGGTGTGACGCGTGCATGCGATGTCAGGTGTTAGCGCGATATGGTGGATCGCGCCACCCGAGCTTTCGCGTTCGTCAGCCTTCCGGAATGTTCTACGTCATCCTCTTATCTACTCGAGCACTTCCACCAGCGCCTGCACGCATCCACGAAGCGTGATACCATCTAGGGACTCTCATAGCCATTCAGAAATCTCCTCCAATATGGACGTCGAACTGTACGTGTATGACCTTTCTCAAGTAAGTGGCTGGAGCAGATGTACATGCGCGATCGTTCACGGCGCTTTGTAGACGTGTTCAGAGCTGACGGCATCGAGGGTCTTGCGCGAAGCATGTCGCAGCAATTCTTGGGCATTCAGGTAAGCCGTTCATCTTCCGATACTCGGTACATGCGCTGACACATGCTTCCGAACAGATTGATGCCGTATATCACACCTCAATCGTACTCGACGGCATAGAATACTACTACGGATCAGGCGTTCAGACATGTCGGGCGGGCACCACCCACCATGGCCGACCGATGGAAGTAATCAAGCTGGGGCAGACTGCGCTTCCAATGGAGGTCATATTAGAGTACCTCGAGTCTCTGAAAGAAATATACACGGCCGAGGTATGGTCTCGTTTAGCGCTTTTGCGCAGACTATGCTGACCGTCAACCCAGTCATACGATCTTTTCGCGCACAACTGCAATAACTTCTCCAACGATTTCGCCATGTTCCTTGTCGGCAAAGGAATACCAGATCACATCACTTCCCTCCCGCAGACCGTCCTGAACACGCCGTTCGGACAGATGCTCAAACCGCAAATCGACGCCGCAATGCGACCCATCGTCCAAGCACCAACGCCGCAGCCGGTACAACCGCAAGCGCATTCGAAAGCGTCGAGCGCAAATACATCCAATGGGGTCTCTTCTGGGGGTAGTGCTTTGGAAATGAACACGGGCAGGGTCAACAACATAACAACGCTGAAGGACGTAGACCGCCTTCTCGACCTCGCCAAAGACCGTTGCGCCATCATCTTCTTCACGAGCTCCACATGCGCGCCATGCAAGTTGGTGTACCAACCGTACGACGACCTCGCCGCCGAGACTGGCACCAAATGTGTCTTCATCAAAATCGACTTCAGCCACGCCGATCGCTCCATCAACGCCCGCTATCCCGACGTTCGCGCGACCCCAACGTTTATAACATACCTCAAAGGCGAAAAGCGAGACGAGTGGAGTGGAGCTGATCCGAGGCAGCTGCGGAACAACGTGGAGATGCTGGTCAACGCCGCGTTCCCAGCGCACCCACATCTCGAGAAGAGCACACCCATGCTGTTGCGGCAAAGTCAAAGGCCTGTCAGGTTCACCAAGGTGCCGCCCTTGGAGAAGCTGATCGCAAAGATGGGCGATGCAGGAAAGGAGCCCGCTGTTTCGTCAGTTGTGTCCTTCATACAGACCCGCGAACAATCTGGGGCCATAGAAGCACCTCTGGGGGATCTTCCGCAGTTCGCAAATTTCCTGAGGAGCAGCACCTCAGTACTCCCACCAGAGCTTCTGTTCACGGCCCTAGATCTGCTCAGGGTGGCCTTAACCGACGTCCGCGTGGCCGGCTTCTTTGCGGAAGAACATAAAGGAGCAACTGGCACACCTGCCACTATACACCATCTGCTGGGCTACGTCGACAAGCTCGGCGATTCCGCGCCTTACCCTCTTAGACTTACGACACTGCATCTCGCATGCAATCTATTTTCATCGCCACTCTTCATACCACACCTCCTGTCTCCGCCGCTCTCGTCAACGCTAATCTCCATCCTGACGACCGCTCTCCTCGACGAGAAACATCCCGCGCTCAAAGCGTCGGCTCTCAGCTTAGCCATGAACATCGCGTCTTCGAACCATCAAATACGCATGAAGAAGCACAGCGCGAACCCGTCAGCCTCCTTGTCTTTTGAGACCGAGTTACCCGAGGCGGAGCAAGGCGAGCTGCTGGCATCGCTACTGGAAAATATTGGCACCGAAGAGCAGTGGAGCGAGAACCAGAAGATGGGTGTCATATGTGTTGGTTGGTTGGTGTATGCCGCTGATATGCAGGGCGAGCTGAGAGACACTTGGAAGGTTATGGATGCTGCGGGCACGATAGGAAAGGTTCAAGCGAAGGCTGGTGAGGATAGCTTGATGGTAAAGGAAGTGCAGGCTCTGCTAGACGCATGAACTTTGTAAAGTACAAGCAGCTTTTTTTATTGACTTTGCCCACCAGGTGCCACGCAAACTACGGAGTATTTGCATCCTTATTTCTTCTTGCTGTATGTCTTCTTCACGACCTTGTTCTTGCCAATCTCGTGCTTCCCAGTCTTGTTCTTTCCAGTCTTGTCCTTCCCATCGCCGTCAACAACGGTAGTTCGGGTAAACTTCTTACCCTTCCACTCTACGAGTTGTATCTCCAGTTCTTCGGCTGTCAACTGTACAAGTTCTTCACCTTGCCCATCCGGTCTCTTTACCACCTTTCTCCCGCGCACCCAATGCATATCAGCTGCGCGAGGAATTCCCTTACTCTCGCGCTTGTTCTTCTTGTTTTCAGGTCGGTCAAACCAGGTGCGCCTTTGGTGTGTTAGTCGAGTTTGCCCATGCGAGCTGGGTACGACGACAACTGATGCGTACTAATACGAACGCGTATCACATTAGGGGGATGTCGACTCACTTAGATCCTCGACTGGCCAACTTGTCAGCGGCTTCGTTTCCTGCATCACCGATGTGGCCTTTAACCCAGAAGAACTTCGTCTTGGCACCAACATTCTTCCTCAATTGCTTGCGAATTACAACCGATTCGATAACATCCATGTGCTCGTAGTATTCGCCTTCTTGCTTGTTCCAGCTGGACATCTTCCAGCCGCGGTGCCATTTCGTTACGCACTGGATGGCGTACTTTGAGTCGCTGCGGATGAGAACGTCTTGGCTCAATGAGACCTTCTCGAGGGCGATCTTGATGGCCATGAGTTCGGCGCGTTGATTGGTCTGAGGACCCGGGCCGAGAGGTGCGCCGACATTTCTAGAGAGATGAAGGTCAATGTTGCTATGTGCATGGCGAGATAGCTGAAGGCTTCGAAGACGACTTACCTAGGGTCACTGACACCGAAGAAGACTCCAACGCCAGCGGCAGCATCAGCCTTTCCATTGCGGAAGGAACTGCCATCGGTACTGATCTTGAGCAGCCCTGGCCAATCCGGTTCGATAGAGGTAGTCATCGTAGTTGCAAGAGCGGGCACCTTCAAAGAGACGAGGTGATCGTCGTGAGTCTCGATTTATGTGGTCTGAAACCACGAGCGAAGAAAGTATCTCACTCTCATCAACACTTCTGGGGCATCGCGAGATACCCGTCTTCTCAGCTACTCTGGCGTTGCCATGGCTCTGCCATACGCGTTATCGCCATTGTCACAGATCGACCGATCGCATTGAACGCCATGACGGTACTAGCTATGAGAATAACTTTGAAGCCGCCAAGTTGTCGTGCGCCGGCTGTCCGTAGATGTGCCCTGGTGGGGTGAACCGTGGTGGGGGCGGGGCAACATCATCGCGATCAACTCCGGCGGGGCGCAAGCACCGCAAGCACGCTTCAACTAGTACGACCGTACCTGGTACGCATGCACCTGACACTCTCACGCCATGTCCTGGAAGTGCTTTTTTGAGTTCTGCGACGCCTGGCGCCACAATGATAGCGTGGATAGTGACTTTTACCGGTTCATGCAACCACTTCGCGAGCGGCTTGGAGACGCGCGCGAATCGGAGTGACGCGGGGATGGTAGCCCGTGGCTGTTCACACCTTGTAGACCTCGTCTTGCGTCCTTCTAGGATATCCTTGAATGAGTACCTTGCTTGTATTAGGCGTGAACTAATGCAGGACCTTGCAGTGCCTTTCATCGACCCCAGATGCTGGTCTCCTTGCATCGACCCCAGATGCTGGTCTTCTTGCATCGACCCCGGATGCTGGCAGTGTAGTCTCTCCAGACAGTCGGAAACACCCTCTAGATGCTCGACGGGTTCTACCGCCAATACACCGGCCTTTGCAATCGCGATGCTATGACTTCACTTATTGGAGATGGGCTGTTGAGCGCTGAGTGGCTTCTGACAAAGGAATTTGGAGAAGAGAGGGGTAATGGTGAAGGAAAGCTAGCAGGTACCCAGGCCGTTTAATTTGGGATACTTGGTCTTCCCCCCTCCAAAAACCATCGACTCTTCATTCACATTCCCTTTGATACCTACTTCCAATCATCACAGACTCGACAACATGTCCGCAGGTTTCTTCTGTCACGCATGTGCTCATCCCCATGGGGGCGACTACTTAACATGCCTGCGGTCCTTTGGCACCATGGACCTGGAACCCAGCTCGGATTGGGCTGCTCGTCACTACAGACCTATAGTGGTCTTACGACCAAAGAAGCCGAGAGTTAAGCGAGTACGTATGACCATCACCAAGGTCTTCAAGATGAAATGCTCATGTGGATAGACGTACACGCCTTCAATGACCAAGGCGTTCTTCGAACTGAACAACGTAATTAACGCGGCACGCACCGAAAGCTTCGCGCTCTGGGCAAACACTCAAGATGCGAGAATCGTCCAAGCTCGCCGCAGCAGGCTTCGCGTCCAAACCTTTGACCTCAAATTCGGCAAAGGTGGAGCCCAAGTGACGTACGATATCAGAGTCCGCTGGAAGACGACTGACGAGCTGAGGGGCAAAGAGCTCTACATTCACCTTTACCGCGCCATCGGCCAACCTTGGCTGCCAGCAAGACAATGGGTTCGAGAGCATCTCGGTAAAGACGTCATTGGACCAGCCAAGCTGGAGTCATACATCATCGCTACTGGGAGGCCTTTTAACTACGCGGGTCTTCCGAAAGAGTTACAGTTGATGGTCCTGGGGGCTCTCATTGGACCAACAATCTGGCCACGAGCCAAGGTTGAGTGCCGCCGTTGCTGTGATGCCGACCACAGCGGTGCTACATGCGGTGCGTTAAAGCGTGTGTTGCGACATGCCCGTAGCATTGACGACGAGCTTGCGGCGCTCCTGGGAGAGCACGATGTCTCACAGTCCGGGTATCATGTCGAACCGCCGGAGGACGAGCCCTTGGGCCTAGCAAGTCTTGCTATCCAGAACGCTGGCTGGCCCAAGAACATTGGTATCCAAGCACCGCCTCCAATCGTCACCAACCACAGCCTTGGATGCCGAACGCGGCACCGAGCTGGAACGAAACCTTCTTCCGTTGATGGGTTGACGCGGAAGGACGCCAACGGGATGAGAGACCTGCTTCTTATCAGCCGCGAGTTCAGCGTTGATGTCCAGAAGATGATCTGGGAGCCTACCGTCAAGCGATTCAGAAGCCTGGCTATACTGTGCGCATCTATCCCACTACTCAAGTCCATAACGTCTTTCAACACCTTTCGCCGAGTATCACTCAGCATGAACAACATTCAGCTGTTCCGCTTCCTCGGTTACAAGAGCAGTGAGAAGAGTGCTTTCAGGACTTGCACCTCCACATCAGGAGGCACTCGCGACATCCTGGCCGGCCTAAACATCCATCATTTACATTTCGACTTCCAACGGCCCACAGTCACCGAGCTTTACGGCCGCTACTACACCGACGATCCGTGGTCTAACACCAAGAGTGCACCACGTTCAACAGCGTCTTGTCAGAAGACATTCGTGGATATATTCTTCATGATGGCTTTTGACAGCCTTCGCAGCGTGCCGAAGGTAACTTTCTCCGGGTATACGAAAGAAAGCAACGGGGAGACGTGGGAACCGCTTTTGTCGAAGTCACGAGAGAATGTTTCGTCTACGTTCTCTTCTGCCATCTCTGAGATGAAGGCACGTCCTGTCTCTGATTTGTGAGTTCACCCTGCCAAGACTAGGATGTAACACACTAACAGAGAATCAGTCCGCCGAGGTGCGACTGTCGCGATATATGCCATGACGCGCGAAGGTGAGGGGCTAGGCGGGGCTGGCGGGTATCAGGATGGGCGCTGTCATGCTGGAAGGGTTTAATGAACTGGGCAAGCGCGTGACGGTCATATACATTTATTTGCGCCTGAATATTGTTGCTTTCTGGATCTATGATGCGAAAATGAAGTGTGTATATGAAAGAGCGTGTCTTCGCAAACTGAACTTGAGACCGGGATGTGACAATGCAAAGCGCGGGCCCATAGTCGAATGACATTGCGAGAAGACGTGCATCAAAACATTGAAGCAGAGAGAGTAGAGATAAAGCCGAAGCCATGTTGAAGATCGCACATGCTCTGTCGAATGAGACCTAGGTGGTCGCGCCGGCCTCGATGCCTATGTAAGACAAACTTCCACACTGAAGTCCTCACAACGCCCGTTGTATCCAGGAAAAACCAGTGTCGCGAGATCGATTGCCTCAACCACGTGAAAAAACATACGACCATCGCAGGATGTGCCATGGAGGGAGTGGCCACTCTGTCTGGAATTCTGCCGGCTCGTGAGCGCTCCATCGAGTTGTCCACTCCTCATCAGACCACCCGTGATGGTCTTGAATAAGCTCATCAACGTCGCAGGGGATACCAAGGTCAAAGTTGCACCGAATAGGCGCATTATTGGTTGAAAGGTTTCGGACAACGTCTGGAAAGCACTCTGTGATGTACCCGATCTGAAACCGACGGCGCGACCACGATCGTCGAGGAAGCATGCTATTAGCGTAAGCAGCATCGAGGGCGCACTGCCAGGCAGCGTCTCGTTGTACTACCTGGAAGACACGCGAAGCTAGTTCCGTATTGGGCGCGCCGTCAAAGACGAGGCTATACGACCCGATCGGCATTCCGAGGGAAGGCAGTACTAACGCTTCCGTCATCCAAGAACCGATGGCACGACTGATTGTGTCAGATTCCAAGCGATCACTCCGCAGGGTATCAACGTTGTCGTCATCCCGAAGACCCCGGATATACATACGCCTTGCCCGATGTGAAACAGGGAACGCGTTCTTCCACAGGCCGACGACACGCTCAAAGCGGATGTGCTTATGTGCCTGGCATATGGCAATCAAGCCTCGTCCATGGCATTGTGGACGTGCAACAGACGGGCGCTCTTCAAGGAGGATGACTTTGCGTATTTGTTCGCGGGTCCTTGCAGGGATCGAGTTTAGAAATCGGAGAGCTACCTGTACTGCAGAATAACAGTAATTTGTACGAGTCTCAGATTTCGGCTCTTGAGGCTCGAGTTCGACGATGTCCACAAGTCGTTGCAGTTCGATGGATTCGGGTATTGCCCAGGGCTCGGGGTGAGCGTCCTGCAGCTCAAATACATTACAGTCTTCCGGCTGCGCCCAGTAAGGATTAGTCGCTTTCGCTACTTCGAAAAAGCTAGGATGCTTTGACAGTAAAGCCAACATAAGTTGGATAAAGTCGTCCCATACAGAAGGGGCTTCACCACCGGTAAAGTCCAGCTTGAGCAGAGCATCGATCTGGCTTCCAGGCTGCCATCCGTCAAAGAGTGGTGCAAATTGCGGGAACGCGTGACTAGCTTCCTGTACCATGTCTTCTGTGAGCAGGCGCGCTATCAAATGCCGTGTCAATAGTCGTTTTCGAATCGAGATGCTGCTCACGGTATCGTGGAAGATGCCCGCATTTTGCCGTGTTGCCTCCGAGACGTATGTAGAGAACGTGATCGGATTAAGGCCGAAGGCAAGGCCTCGAAGCTCTGAAGCAATTTGACGACAAGACAGCATGAGCGCGATGGAGACTGGGCTTCCGTCGGCTTCCCGAATCTTGTTCGACGCATAGTCGTATGTGTAACCGCCGTCGATTCGGGTGTAGTGCTCGTATATGAGGTCTCGGAGCTCGCGCGGCAGGCGGAGGATGGTGGACTGTGTGGTTCGGTCGGCCGATTGGAAATGGGCCTTGGAGCCGGGTAGGGCTATACAGTTCGTAGCGCTCATCTTGGGAGCTTCGCTCGGCTGGACGATCGAGGACTAGGAGACTTGTTAACTGCTGATGAGATTTGCTGTTGGGGAAGAGAAGAGGAATAATGTCCGGCGTCGAAAAAGCTGTTTATGTACCCAGTCAGGCAACAGCTTTTCGGTCTTTGTGGCCACGTAACGTAGTCCAGCGGGCTGCTGTTCCATGGGACAGCGTGGAGGAAGCGTAAATGTGACCCAATGAGCCAAGGAGAGGCGCCACGAGCATGTGGAGCGGAGAGCGTCTTTGTTTCAGCGGGAGGGCACCGCATTTTTATGATTTATGAATAACAGCGTTATGGGGTATCTTAGATCCAAAAAAAATCAAGTCTCGAACAGGTAACAGCCCTCTACCAGGTGTCTCAAAGGTCGTAATCGAAGTTTAACACGTACTCCATCTGCTTAAAAGAGGTCAGCGGCGATAAGCTTGTAACATGTATATACGAGTTGCTGTTGGGGACGGGTGTGGCAAGGAGAAGACACGTACAGGTGTGCGCGAGGGCGCGCCAAGCCTTCCTGGCTCGGCCGCCGACACCCCCGGTGGGTAGCTCGTCTCGAAAAAATCGCCATATAGGCACTGCGTCACGATGTTAGCTTGCGCCGAGTCGAAGCTTGATCCGTCGCGACTTACACACAATTACCCCATCATTTCGAAATTTGGATGGGATGGCGATACAACCTGTGCCTCAGTCAGCGTGCCGAATGATCGTGAAGAGAAAGATGGGGCATACCATGGCTCGTCGGTCGCGAGACCATCAGAACAGGTTGCAAAGCGGAAATGCCACTGTCGAGATGTTAGTATTTACGAGGAATGTACTCGGGTAATCAATACTTGCCATATCCTCGCTCACAAGTCGGTCGGTATATATTCTCGCACATCTCTGTAACTCGCTTGGGTTAGCATAGCGAAGGATGCGGGTCAGATGGCTGACTTACGCTGCTGCTCACACTACATCAGAACCCCTCCAAATCATAAACCTCTACCTTTCAAAGCTATCGCTACACGCTTCGTCAAGTCAGCTTGTTGAATGTGATACATCTTGCAGGCATCAGCTTACATGGACACCTTCAACGACGCCAATCACCTCGTCCTGCGCGATCCCGAGGACTCTCATCCCCAGGTCCTGAACCTGGGTGCGCCTACAACCGGAACTCAGTGCCATTCTATACATGTGAATGGGTAGCATTGTCCACTCACCTCCTCCATCAAGACCTGCTTTCGTCAGCTCGGCAGGCCCTCACGGCGTCGTCGACTGCGGATGAGTTAGCGATGATATGGAAAGGGCATGCAACTACTAACCCCCATCCCCAACCAACTACTCGCTCTCGCGGATCAGGTCTTCGCGTGAGTTAGCAACAATCTCAACACCAGGTATGTCTACCAACCTCCAACTTCTACATGAACCTGAGCCCCGCCCAGGCTCAGCGACTCCTCGTCGACCTCCAAGAGATACATTCAGATGTTAAGGAGGGCAAGATACAGGTGCACGCCAAGTCTCTTGACACCGTTACTGCGAAGATGTCAGTCTTCTTCCTTAAGATCTGGTGTACCGCGCTAAACTTACCCATCAACGCCACTGCCCTAGAGGGATACTTAAAGGTGGCCGTGCTAGGTGGTAAAGATACCAAGATGGTGAAAGACCAGATTGCTGCTTTGTGGGATATATGGCGAAAGAGGAACATGAAGGTAGATCCTGTACGCGACGACTACCGGGCCCGCGTCTGGGGTAAGCTGATATTGTCAGTCCCTTGGCTCGCTGATCGTTGATGGAAACGTACGAGAGCGTCTTGTGGATGAAGGAGATCTTGTGTCTCGCACATGGTGTCTGATGTGTGGATCTTGAACATCATCAGCAAAGCCTACGTCTGCGCAGCGTTTGGACTCACGGGAATGCCGGTGGTGGTTGTCGCATGGTCTGACGCTGCTGCTACTGGTGACTCAGTGACTTGTTCCGGTTGAAGACGCTCAAGAGAGGAGTGGGGAGAGCGGAGACTAACCGGAGGTCAGAAGGATGGTCGCATGGATCCGGCATGGTGTTGCTGTGTACGTTAGAATCTTGCAACCCATGAGAAGTTTCGAGAAGCGGCCAGTGTGATGCGCGCGAACTACGCGACAGCGATGCGAGGACTGAGCGTGGAGGAGGTAGAGGAAGAGAGGGATACAGACCAAATGGCCGTCGAAGATGGTGATCATGGCTCCGCTGTCGTTGTCGCTGTCGCTGTTGCTTCAAAGTCAGCCTTGGATATTCGGGATGTTGAGCGGAGTCAAAAGAGACGGCGCAGGCGAGTGCGAAGTAGCGGCAAGGCTACTGTAAGAGTAGAAGGAGAGTAAGGGTAAGACTTACTGGGAACGGATGGGCTGCATGTCGTGGATTTGGCGTTGTCGCTGCTGTTTGTCAGCGTTGTTGCCTGACAGCGGTGAATGGTGATAGTGAGGGAGCGAGCGGGCTAAGATGGTGACTCATCTGTTGCCAGCGGTTGGGACGGAGAGGGTGTGTTGGGTGCGTTTAGGGTGGAGCGCAAAAGTCTGCGTGGCGGTACTTACGGCTGGTTGACTTGTTGGGATAATTGGGCTTGATGGTAAAAGTCAGCCAATACTCGAACTTACCCTTCGATACAACTTACTTAGTGGCTTCATTAGTAATCGGACGGAACAAAATTTAATCTCCACAAAGTGTGACACAAACCGGGGCTCGAGGCCGCCTAGGGGGGTAGAGAATGTATTAATGCATCTATGAACTATCTCAAAACCAGTGTGTGCTCGTTCAAAACAGTCCAGCGGCGCGTTCTCGGGAACTGATAAATCTTGTCTTCCTTCACATACTTGAACTGGTCGAGCTCGAAGTACCGGATAGCGAAAGAAGAAGCCATTTCACACTCCTCCGTCATCAACGTCTCCCAATGACAGTGACCGACAGCCGCTACGAGAAGTTGGCGGGGTAAAGCAAGCGCCTTGCAGTGGCACATGAGGTGTTCGGCTGTATGAAGTGCATCGTTGCATAGCGGACAGGTCATCTCGGTGATCTTGTTGACATCGCGGTGAAAGTGGTTGGTGTTGACGGCCATGTTGCCGGTCCGCAAAGCGATCGTCATTGTACTTTGCGCAGCATTCAGGCCAACGTAGCACTTGAAGACATGATCCATGAAGAGACTGTTATGAGCCGGGTGGAAGTGTTGGTTGCGATAGGCACGAACGCGCAAGTAGTCGTCGTAGGCTATTTCAGCCTTGTGGAACATCAAATCGTGATGGTAGCGCTTGATCCACTTCTTCTGAGTCTTTGGGGTGGCCCACTGCTTTTCGAAAGTTTCGAGAGCTAGCCCGTGTCGCTCGCGGGTGCGAATCTGGCCTAGATGAAGAGTGGCGAGTCTGCGCAGGCGGGTGTAAGGATGCGCGCCGAGGTCTTCACAAATTTTGCTTGCTGACTTTGTCAGGAACGGTGTATGGTGGGTTCTCGTCTTGACCATTTCCGCATATGACGCGGAGTCGTGCTTTGAACATCGGTGGTTCATAGCGATCTCATGGAGTTTGAGCAGGATGGGGAAGACGTGAAACTCGTGCTCCATGACCGGACAGTTGGTGTTGGCCCGGGCTCTGGTGAGTGACTTCAGAATCTCGGTCTGCAGCTTCAGCAGCATGTTCAGGGCGACTTGTGTCAGACCATACTGTATGCGCGACTCTTCTTTGGTCTGTGTTGGGTCGTGGATAAACCAGGCCGGAGCAGCGTATGCGATTTTAGCAAGAAGTTTGCCACGATATAGCCGCTGGCGTTGGGCGTACGTCGCGCCGAACGTGCCTCCGACGAAGCGGTGGAAATTTGCTAAGTCGATGCGGATCTTCTTCTGGATCTACTGACGGTCAGTGGGGTGTTTCGAGCGATGAGCGAAATGTGGCATACCTCTTGGATGTGCGGAATCCAGCTTAAACAGCGATCGTACGTAACACCAAGGATCACCAGCTTTTGAGGAAGAATATCCGCCTTTTTCTCCTTGGATATGCCCACAAACTCCGGAATCTCAGGCAACAGGGTGCACTCCTTCTGGCCAGGCGGCGTGAAGTGCATGACGTGATACTTTGTCGGCGAAAAGTGGAGGTTGGATTCCATCGCCCACTGATTGATGTTGTCGTGGATGGCGGTCATCAACGCGCAGTTGTAATCCCAACTGCCGCTAGTGACCACGATATATGTATCATCGACGTAAGAGAACATCATGGCCCGATGCTTGGAATGATCGCCGAGGAAGTCGGTCAATAGCGGAGAAGCGTAAAACAGGAATAAAATGGGCGAAAGTGGGCTGCCCTGGGGTATGCCGACATCCACCCAGAACTCACCGCCATTGTATCCAGGCATGTGAATGTATGTGCGGCGATCGGATAGGAACGACCATACTATCTGGATGAGCCAGTCTGGTATCTTCATCGCTATGAGCGTCTGTAGTAACTGGGTGCGTTTGATGTGATCGTAGGCGCCGGTGAGATCGAGTCCGATCAGGCTTGGCTTTAATCTCCGTCGCCAGGCTCGATAGATGGTATTGTTAAGGTGTTCGAGGGCAAGAGTTGTATTCTTTCCCGGTGCACCGAACTGGGTATTCGGAAGAAGATTCCACTCTAACACGAGCTCCTTTAGACGGTTTGCGATAAGGCGTTCGAAGATTTTGCCGATGGTGTTGAGAAGGGCGATGGGCCGGTAAGAGTTGGGTCGGTCAGCAGGCTTGGTGGGCTTCTTTATAATGATCGTAATGGTATCTTTGAAGTGGTCGGGATGGAGACGCAGTTGGAAGCAGGCGTTGAAAATGCGCAGCAGATAGGGCGCAATGACCTTTCGACTCATCTTGAGAGCCTCGTAGGCGATACCGTCAACTCCAAAAGCTTTGTGGGAGGGCAACTCTTTCAAGATCTTCATAAGCTCATCAAACGTAATACGGTCCTGGGAAGTGTGCTGAGGTCTGCCCGGGTCGAGAAAAGGTAGAGGGAATTCCGGTTCGGAAGTAGGGATATCCTGTATTCTGTTCATCAGCCTTGCTAACGGACTCTTTCCGCGAAAACTTACGAAGTCGAAGGGTTCGTCTGAACCGCAAGTGGAGTTCAAAGGCGGGCCCTTTCTTCTGCTCTCGGTCCACGTAGCATGTACATAACAGTTGGCCTTCTCGTCATTGGTTTCGTATGTGTTGGTACCAACTTTGAAGTCTGGTGTATATGCCATTGGCCTTGGAACACTCCATTTGTGCGCACGCTGCGCCAGATGGAAGACACCTCGACGGCCAGAAGCCATAGTGTCGACTGCGCGATGCCACCTTCGAGTACGGGAAACCCCGTCAGTGTTCTCGTGGGGTTGGGGTGTGGGCATTGGCTCGTAGATTCGAAGGACGGGGACGAGATTTCTAATAGCCGGTTCAAGACCGACGGAGATGAGGTCATTCAAGGCTCCGGCTATCGCGGTCTCGTCACAGAGCTCGCGCTGTTGAGTACACTTCATTGCTGTATCCACTTGGTTTTCGAAGTTGTCTTGTGGTGTCTGGCTCCACAAGTACCGCAGTCCAGACTTACGCTTCATGTCGAGATTGATAGCGACTGAACACGGTGTGTGATCTGTTCCGTATCCTGAAACGTTCTTGAGCAACATGTAGTTGACCTGGTCGTTATCAGCAAGAACATGCTTGATAAAGACCAGATCAACTACACTAGTAAACTTGTCGTCCGTTTGCGAGGAACGTCGATACGTTGGATCACCCTTCCTGTTGAGACACCTCATGTGGGCGTTTTCCATCTCTTCGACAAGTCGCCTGGCCGCTGGCTCAATCCTCGATTTAGGAAAGTTGTCGCCAGCCCACAATGGATGGTGAAGATTGAAGTCTCCTAATAGTATGTGAGCTTTCGCCGCATCGCGTACTAGAGAACCTAGTTGGGCCATGTCTCCTCGCTTCTCGTGGTTGTAGAAGTTGTGGAAGGCGATAGCGTAGCCGTCTGCCAGCGGAACGTGTAGAGTGGCCACAAGACCGCGGTTGGCTCCATGGGGCTCGGTGACGCGGCAGCCCTCCAATGAGTTGTGTATCAAGAAAGCGACCTTGCAAAGGTCCTTGACCTCTTTCTCCTTTTGCGGTTTGCGGCTGTACGGAATGCGGTAGGGGAAGGTGCTCGGGTCGTTGTCCCTGGTGAGTTCTTGGGCATTGCCTTCTTCGTCGTCGGCCGCACGATACCAGTGACCATATGACCCCAAGCTCTTGTAAGCAAATTTTGGCGGGGGATCTTGGATAGCGATGATATCCGGGGGTCGAACTTGAGTCGAGACGTGGCGTAGAATGGCTGTGAGTCTTGCTGGTGCCTGCTTGGTATTGACCGACCAAACGATACACTGGCCATCATCCAAGACGCGAATGGCTAAGCCTTCTTCTAGTTCGATCTGGGCGATGGTGCGTCTCTTCTCTCCACCAGGAGCTTTTGAAGGCCATGTGATCTACTCGATATGTTAGAAGGATTCATGGCCAATTGAGTATTGGACTTACGCTTGAGAGTTTGCGTCTCCGCTGTGAAGAGAAGCCTCGTCAGAATCGTCAAAAAGAACTCGGATAACAGACATACCCGCTGAGCGGCCTTCTTCTTGGTAGTACCTAAGGTCTCGTTCTTCTTCCCTCCTGCGCTGCTCATGAGGGCTTCACTGGCAACTTCCATTGCGATTGCGGAACTAATGAGCTAGTGGACCCTCACCGAAGTTGTAAGCGACGATGAATAGGATGATAGTGACGAAGAGAATAAGGTAATGATGTCCTTGTACAAGTATGCGAGCGAGATCGTTATCGCAACGGATTTGAGAGACTGATGAAAGACTGATGAAAGACTGATGAGAGACTCGGAGTATTGAGCAGGCGATTAGGGTGATATATATATATGTTTCTATAGTCCAGTAACGCTGACATACACACACCCCAAGACGTCATGACTGCATGTGGTACATCTCATTTGAAAGTCTTCTTGGAGAAGGCCCCCGACTCATTACGACATCAACGTTCCTACCAGAGGACGCGCAAGCACAGCCTCTAGTGGCTCGGATAAACTCACGGATCACGGGCTGATGATGCGAGCTTCAGTGCAAAGGCGTGGCTTCTCTTCGGCTGGTGTTTGACCATGGCCGATGTCTCGATAAGATTCACAGCCTATCGATCGAGGATGCTGGATGCAGGCTCGGTGTCTAAGGACAGACGAGACGCCATTCCTCCGTGGAAGCTTGCGACTACAGGTCGAACGATACGATAGCGTGCATACTGATTACCGTGAACCTTCTTCGTAGCTTTTTGGGCTATCGAGACACCCCTCGGGTCGACCGAAGATACCAAGGGCTTGTCAGGTTACAGTGACTAGGGCATCTCAACAACCTGAAGGGCTTCCGGATGCTGATGCCGCAACCACGGGGTTACGCCACGGTATGCTGAATGGTCGTTGAAGTTGCCGAGCCTGCTGCAACCATCTTGTGACTCCGTGCATCTTACACCTTCATGCCCTTACCCGGCCACACTACTTCGACCCACATGGAATAGATGTGGATGCATACGATAGTTTCGTAGCCGTTGGCAAGCCTCTAACGAAATCTTGTTGATGCGGGATTCTCGGTTCAACCTTATCATAAGTGGATATTCTTGAGTCGAAGGACTGGTCATCGGCTTGATAATCATGGGGAGTGAGGACTTCTGCGACGTGAATGGCTGCTGCGCACGTAGGTGCTAGACCGCGTGGACATGCATCGAGATTTCTCACGCAGGATCCATAGCCTCTGACGTGCTGGTGTCGAGCGAAGTGAAACTTTCTTCTTCGTATCGCCTACTGAGGACACTGACACTTTGTCTGCAAGACTAGCGTTCCCGTCGAGTTTTAGGACGGCGCATGGAACCGAAACATCGCATAATCCTTGCATACATCGCCGTGAGCCCCCACAACTTTGGGCACCCGTATGGTGGCACGATGAGATGACGGCGACGACTCCGTGTGCTGGCGATAGGTTCCGGAGAAGGCCGTCGTAGATCGGCGAGGCAGATGCGTCGCAGCCGCTTGCACGCGAGGTCATGAGATCGCGGAGTCTCGTCGTTGTGGCGTGAGAGTCCTTGTAGAAGCGATAGGGTCGTTAGTCGGTGGGCTCGGCACGGAACGCGTTCCTTACTTCCAGCCGGTGGGGTTGACAGCTGCGGACGCATGCGTGCGCGGCGGGCACGCTAGGCCCTTCCCAGATGCGATCTCGATCGGGCACATGCAAATGGCTTACGAGGCCGCCGACAGCCAATTGCCGGTGCGATTACAGTTTGCAACGTCGAAGCACATCAGCTCCTAGCGCACCTAAGGCATGCAGGAACGCTAGCAGTAGAGGCAGCCCGCGGCTTGATCGAACAATCAAGGGAACCTAGTCGTCGTTTGCATACACGCTTACCCCACACTCGGTACGTTCATCAAGCCTGCCCCTGCTACCGGTAGCTCCGACTACGGTTAAATCGTAACCTCACGTTAAGCTTTGTCGCGTATCGTTCGGAAGCGCAGTAGGTATCTTTCCCCAACGACTCTAAACAACTATAGTGAACTCCAATTTACTCCAATTTACTCCGAATGACTACACGAACCCGCAAACGGTTATCGATGAATCAGTGATGGTAGTGTATGCGGAACCGATGGTGCGCGCGATCTCTCGATGGACTTGTCGCGCTTTCGACACGTTCAGCACGTGAGACTGTCTTCTACTAGGTATATAGAGGCTCGAGGACGTCAACTTCAACTTCCAATTCATCATTTTCCATACTCTCATATCTGCCTCCAGCTCCGACTTCCATCACTGTCTTGAATACTATCTTGCACCGCCGGCCATCTTTGCCACCACATTGTCTTCATACCTTGAACAATCATGTCGAAGTTCTCCGCTGCAATGGTGGCTCAGCCTGGTACTTGCGAGCCAGCAGCTGAACTATCAGCACAGACCAGTCTCAAAGCGAAACAACAGCCCGTCAACAAGGTCATCACCACCATCGTCGAGACACTTGAAGCGAATCTACCACGGCTCGTTGAAGCTGCTGTTGCCCAGCGTTTGGCTTCGTTGACGAAGAGTTTCGAAGAGATGTCCACGACCATGACGAGCCTTATGGAGACTGTCCAAGAGCTCGCAAAGGCTGTTAAGCCAGACAACTTCCGCACGGTTGAGCCACTCACCAACTTCATACCAACTCTCAGGTACAACTACCTCTACCCCTGCTTCAACACGAACTAACCGGCCGTAGGTACAAAGGACTGACTATGAACGATGTCACGTCACTCAGGAACATGAAACCCGAGGCCCTCCTTGGTATCTTCAAGAAGGCCGGCAAGCCGTACAATCACATCGTCGGCTATAAGATACAGGACAAAACCAAAGGCACCAACCCGCATGCTGCTTTATCCGACCGACTTGAGCTCCTCCTCTACCTCGACACCCAACAATCTTTCGTCCAGCTGACTAGGAAAGAAATGTCCATCTACACCATGAAATTGCTGAAGCTTTCGAATCGAGCACACCTCATGACGGAGAAGTACTGGGTCCACGACTTTCATCTCCTTGACCTGAACAAGGTGGAGACGAAGAGCTTCAAAGATCGGGTCACGGAGTGGAACTCACAGACTGGGCTCAAGATTTCCGAGATCGACTTCAAGTGTGGCAGACTCTTGTTGGGCTTTGACAACCCGAATGAAGCGGAAAAGGCATGCACTTCCGTCTTCTACATTGACGGTTCGCCCAATAGAGCAGTGTAAGTCAAACATTCTGAGCCGAATCAAAAGACTCGTACTAACGTGCTGCATCTAGACCATTCGAGAAGAGAGCCATACCTCTTTTTTGTCGAAGGTGTGGGCGTCCAGAGCACATGGCGATGGACAAAAGCTGTCCTGAGTACCCTCGTGATGGGCTGGCGAACACCGACAAGTTCAAATGTCTCTTTTGTGCCAGAATACACGCCGGTGTCTGCCACTTCAAAAACGATCCGTCTGGGCAAGAATGCTTGAACTGCCTACGAGAAGGAGTCTTCCCGAGGAATCACAACACCGAGTCGCAGGCTTGCCAGAATGCTGCAGTCAAGCTCCACCGAATCAAATGCAAGACATTTTTGGCATGTGGACCACAGTGGGCGAGAGGTCGAAACATACCGCTAAATCCGATTATACCTTTCGATCATCCAAGCGACACGGGAATGCAGGCCAAGCGTGGACCCGGCCGACCGAAGGGAAACGCCACCAACAATGGTAACAACATGACCTCGGTCGAAGACAAGCTGTTGCCGATGGACGAGATGGACTTTGTCAATCCTGAGGATACAACGCAGCCCGGCGACAAAGACAAAGGAAAGGCCAAGGCGGGATCGTCCGAGTCAGCACCAATTGTTGTCGATGACGAAGACTATGGATACAGCTCGTCCGACGATACTTTCGGGAGTTTCGCTGAACTTTCATTGGATCATGAAGAGACAAGCCAATCTACCGTCCGCTCCAGCAACTCCACATTCCACACTCAGTCCACGCTTCCTTCCAGCCAAAGCGTCGCCTCCTCCAGCCAGATCTCACCGACTCGTAGCATGCTAGACGTCCTCAAGCCATACAGCGACGAACCGACGAAGGAGAAGAAGAAGTCGGCGCCGAAATCAACGGAGAAGTCAACCCAAGCGGCGAAGAAGACAGCGACGCCGAAAGGGAAGGAGAAGGCAACCCAACCGGAGAAGCCGAAACCGGCTGCACCAGAGAAGAAGACGAAAAACTCGAAGAAGGCCCCTCTTCCATCAGTTGAAGACCGTGAGCCGACCGATTCAACTGCCAACACACCGGAGCAAACACCAACAGGCCAGAAGCGGAAGCGCGTAGATGCGAAAGCAAAGCAATCTCGCGTCGCAGAAGCCACCGATGCAGCTGCTGGCGACACCGCCGCTGAGCACTTATCCGACCAAGAGCCCCCAGCTCGACGTGTGCGAATTCGACCCGGCCGTGGCCCGCGGCCCGCAACGGCAACGGTGATCAAGAAAGAGCCCTCCAACATTGAGATACCGATGACACCCGACGATTCTCCATTCGCGCCAGATGTCTCGAAGAAGCGCAACCTCGCCAATCCTTTCGAGAACAAGAGCGGCCGCGCCAGTACCGTAGTAGTTCCTGCTACCCCGGAAGAGAGCCAACTTGTATGCGCCGCATCGTCTGCTTTCGGCAATGGCGTAGAGACGATTGACCTCACCGCTGAGCTTACCGACGCATCGATGAGTGAGAGCGAGGTTGAAGAGACGGAGTTCTTCGACGATCTCTACCCCGACGACGACTGAGTTCATCCGCCAACTCGGTGTTTTTACTTTGTTGTCTTTACTTTGTTGTTCTTACTTTGGTGTTTTTACTTTCCAGTCGTTCACTTTGGGTCTTTACTTTGGTGTCTTCGTTTCGTCGTCCTCACGCTTTCATCTCAATTCTCGGTTGCGCGTTTTGCTGTCAAGGTTTTTCTTCCTTCCTCTCGATCTCTTTGGTCGCGTTGCCTCTTTTCCTCTCTTTATTGCATGTTTTCGCTTTTGGTCACTTGGTTTATTTCGTTTACTTTCTTTCCTTCGTCGCCTCATCTTGCGCGCGGTTTTCGCATTCCAACACTTCGTTTCGTTTCCCTCGTCTCGGTTTCTTTCACCTGGCAATCCTTATTCTGGTTCGTGTATCTTGGTTCGCTTATGTCGGTCCCTTCAATCTGGTTGCATTGGCCCAGTTCCTGCATCATGGTTTCCTTGTGCCGGTTTCTTCATTCCGGTTCCGCATGTCGACCCCCTCAATTGGATGCCGCGCTGTGTGACCCTACTTCATCGTCGCTCGTTTTGGCTCGTCCAACTCGACTACGATGGATGTTCTGGTACCTGCGCCTTGCTTCAATTGAAAGACATGCGGAAACCGACATGAAGAGATCGACAATCTGGTTATCATCGATCTGGTTCTCGTACCCTTGTTTCCTTGTGTCGGTACCGGCAGTTTAGCTGCCACATGCATGACCCCGAATACCGGTTACCTCGGAAAGCTTCCTTCTCGTCGGCTTCGTCGTTGTTGTTGCTCAACTCATTCCTTTCAATCTGGGGTTTCTTCTCTTTCGGTGTACTCTGCGCGCGCGTTCTTATCTCTTTTGTCAGGACTTGTGGTCTGGGTTTTATCCATCTTTTCGACTACTCGATTATCTCAGTACGTTTCCTCGGCCACTTCGACGCCCACATTGCTCACAAGAGACCCAGATCTTCGGGCGCGTTTTCGTTTCAATGTTCAGGACCTGTAATTTGCTTTTCTATACATTTGCTCAACAGCGCATTTCTCCAAGTACGTTTTTCTCAGCCGGCTCGGCCTGTTCATCGCTTACCAGAGACCCAGATCTTCTTTCGAGTTTTTATTTCATTGTTCTCGACTTGTAATCTGCTTTTTTGTATGTTGGCTCAGTGGCTCATTTATCTAGGTACGTTTTTCCTGGCCCATGCATCCTATCGATTGCCCACCAGGGGCCCAAATCAACGCGACAAGAGCTTACTCCGTCAAGTTTCAAATCGAATTCGGTTATCTACAATACTTCGAACGATCGTGGTGGTTCTGAGCCGTTACGTGAGCATGCGCAAGATCTCCGTCAGCCTCAGGTAAGCAATACAGATTGGTGTATGCCTACTTTCTTCAGCTAACACATCGGCCAGCTTCCTTCCATGTTTCGTTAGGTGGGTCTATCATGGCGACATCCCGCTGACGCTCACCAGGCATTCACCTGGGAATGGAATGGGGCTTCCTACCCAGGGCAGCTCTGGATCTCAGCTTGCAGTGGTGCGGAGTGATGCTTCCTCGCTCACATTCCAGGCAGCAGGGCTGGCAGAGATTCGGGTGGTGTCAATCCCGGGCCTCACCACACATTGCGTGTGAATGAGGTTGACCGAGCACGAATCTTTTGTTCACTCCTGGTGCCACCCACCGCACGAAGGTACCACATCATCACTCCCTGGACATGAGCTCGCTGCACTTACTTCTCACAAGTGGTGTAGTCATAAGTAAATATTAGACGGCCATATCCACGGTCCAAGATTTCGGGCGTCTTCGACACGCTCGACGGCCTCGGCATCCTTGCTGATCTCCACCACAACCAACCACCGCTTCTTCAGCCACGGCATACAGGCTCGCCGGCAGCCCCAACGATCACGCTTTCCCACTGTACGAGCGATACCTTCCTCATACGACGACCCCGCGATCACCACACCACCCCTCTACCCGAACACGCCCTTCTACCACGAACCCTCCCACCACGAACCCTCCTACCACGAGCCCTCCTACCACGAACCCTCCTACCATGAACCCTCCCACCACGAGCCCTCCTACCACGAACCCTACTACCACGAAACCACGACCCTGTCACTGTGCGCCAGCCAGGACTAAAGGACTAAAGGAACACAGCCGGAAATCTAACCCCCCATGAGGAACATGGGTTGATATCCTGATATGGCCAGGAAGCATGACCATGGAAAAGAGCTATTGGCATTGGAAAGAGAGGAAACAGTCAGCATGGAAGTCGATGCGGAATGGATATCGAGAAAGGCGTCGCGGTGGATATCTCATGGAACTTCGGACAAAGACGTCGCGGTGGAAGTCTACATGGTCGGTGGAGCGAAGGCGCACAGGCTGGAAGAGATGTTGATGGCAAAACCGTATATCGTCCAATTATACTGAAGTTTCTGCCACACCTTGTGCATTTCCTCCCTCTACTGTGACATATGTGCCGATGACAGTAGCCACGAGAACGACATCTTGACGACAAAGCATCGCTTGGCAGCGCACTGCCACCATCTTCACCTCCTGGTGTATGTGTGTTACCACACTTTGTGGTCTCCGCGCGACCGACGACTTCTCCCGTGACGCGCAGCCATGGCGCCGACGGAATCCGGCCCAAGATCACGAGGACGAGTATATGGTCGCGTCAGGTATCCTACCGGTCACGTCGAGACAGGTCGGCGCGAGATCGATGCGGATGAAGGGAGTGCGACGAGGTGCGACGAGGTGCGACGACGATCAGTGCGCGAACGGCGGCGAGCTGATTCGTTTTTGGATAACAATATATACGGCTATCTATCATGTTAATGTCTCAGGTTGCATGTGTGCGTTAATATGTTCCCGTCAGCTCGTTCGCAGGGGCTGCATGGTCGAGGAAGTTCACTCCTCTCATTGTGCCGTCAATCATCCTACGCCCTCGCCCTGATGGTATACGTTACGTTCTGCAAAAAACTTATAGAACAGCGCGTTGTATGTGTATTCCGAGCAGACCTCAGATGCCGGGTGTGACTCGTGAGAAACGAGCTTCTTCGTAGAGGCCGGAAGCGCAATTCGTGGATGGTGGCTCAACTGGCTACATGCGTCGCGTCGATGATGCATGTGGTAGCCTTGTTCGTCGCGAATGATGCGTGTACCGATCTGAATGTGTCCTTTCGCGCAGGCAGCAGGCGAGCTGAGTACTGCAAGACGCGTCGTATAATTGTCTGTCTGGTACTCTCCAAGCACCTCCCTGAGGCCTCCAGCCGGTGCCGCAACAAGCGTTGCCGATTCGGGGCTAGTGGGCGGGAAGACGTCATCCACGATTATCATCGGGCATTGTCAGGGTGTCTGAATCAATGCATTGCACTCTCATCCAACTGTTCCGAAAGCCCAGAATGCCTTCTTCTCGCCTACGTATTGGAGCCCTAAGTGGACTGTCGCAATAACATTACTGGATACTCCAATGGATTGGCCGTCTAGTAACGGCGGTTCAATGGCCGCCGTCAACGTTCGTGGTACTGCTGCCTTGGGTGGCTAACGCTGCGCGCGCAATTATGCTATCAAGACACAGTACGCGTCTTTCGAACGCGATCTTTATAAGCGGCTGTCGCCCTCTTACTCGACGCATGTATCGACCTCCTATTCCGCCTGCCTCAGCCAAGCTCGACGATGGCACCACAACCATGTATCGAACCTTCCTCTGCTAGCCCTCCGAATGCGATCGCGTCCACCGAGGACACCTCACGCACCCCGGTGCCCGCCCTTCTCCGTCTACCGCGAGAACTACGCGACCTCATATACGAATACTACGTCTGGGTAGACGGCGGTTATATCTACAACCCTGAAACGGGCAAACTCGCGCCAGCGGACGGCTCGTCATGTGCCTTGTCATTAGGTCTTGCCTGCCGGCAACTCGCATCGGAGCTCAAGGGCGCTGCATTACGATCCAATACCCTCACCTTCGAGACTTCTTTTTCAGAAGCTCTACGAGAAGACGCGGGGATGTCTGAGATCATCAATTACAACATTGCGTGTCGGAAGAAAGATGTGACAAAGATCTTTACTCCGCGACTATTCACCTCCGCGATGACCAAAATCGTGGCGGACGCCTATCCACAATTTTCGCCAGTTCTCGGCGGCTGGGATACATTATCTCAACGTGAGCTCCGGGCCATGACCAAGCAGGACCAGTGCTGCGGCGAGGCGCCTTCGATATGGCGTGACTGCATCAATGATGTGTTGCGTCAGGTTGTGAAGCACCAAGACCTCGATGCGGATTTGCTGGAAGACGCCAGAACGAGGTATCAGGACACGACGTCGCCTGTACCATGGATCCCAGCTACTCGCGAACAGATGCTAAAGCTTGTCGAATCGGACCCAATACCCTGGCGCATAACGAGCAAGGCCGAACGTGACGATCTAGCAGCCATCGCGCAAGTCGAACCCAGGAACCCTTACTATTTTTCACGGACCAAGTACACGTATTCTGCAGCTTGTCTGGCACTGCACTTTCTCCAGGGACTCTCTGAAGCAGACTTGGCAGCCGTTAGGACTATCTCACTTCGTGAGAATCACGAAGGTGTCGCATTCCCGGAATGTCATGCGCGGGGGTTGATTCCGATATGTCGTCAAAATCCAAAGATCAGAGTTCAGCGTTTCGCCAGTCTTTGGAAGTGCGTTTTCCCCATTTCCCAGGTGAAGCGGATGGACTATACCTATGTCAATCAGGAAGGCCTGGACTCTTCGAGTCTGAGTCATGATCGTTTACAGGCTGAAGACATTACGCGTGCGGTGGGTAAATGGTTGAAGGAAGCCTCAGCTTTGCCATCTCTTGGCATGCCAAACGGCAGCTTCACGCTCGTACTCGATGGCAACCCAACTCCCGACTATACGGCTATGCCATTCCAAGTGGTGCAGCGAGATGTGGCTTTCCAGGACGCACTCGATCTTGCCTACGCTGCCGGCTCTCTCCCCACGCCAACCTGGCTTGCCCGCAGGCTCCGCACTGGTTATATGTATGAAGGAC